GCTACTGTGGATAGTACTTACGAGTAATTTGTGCTTTCGCGTAATGATAGTGAAATTTGATGAAATTATACTAATATAATAACTAGCGTGATGATCTCACCAACACATTTTGAAGGAATTTCACCGAGAAACTACTAGAAATTAGTCTACGTAGGTATAAGGGCGCCTTATTGTAACGTATGTATCATTTGATACATTGTTTGTGTCTCTTCTTTACTCTATATAACAAATTATTACATAGTATAAAACAAAGACACTATCGCTGTCTGTCCGTCCCTATGAATGCTTAAATCTTTAAAACTACGCGACGGATTTTGAAGCGGTTTTTTTGTGATTCAAGAAGTTTTATATGTATAATATTTATTTTTTACATATGAACCTTCCTCTTATTGCTTCCTTCCTTTTATTATTATGAATGATAAAAAGCTCACAATATATCAACAGCGAAAAACGTTGTTTCAAGTTTTTAGTACAGTTCTTTTTAAATGTCATATTTTCGATGTCGTAATCGTCAGACTGTTGAACAATTCAAATACTAAAAAATAGAAACACTTTTCAAAATAGTCACATTTTTTATTCTATTATTCATTAGGAACAGGAGATTTATCACAAGAAGAATGAGCAAGAAAATTTGTGTTGCTCTTTTAAGAAAAAAAATCATAGCCAACCGAAACCCATAGCGTCTTTTATCTATTAAGTAACCAATTATGATCAATCCATAAATAAGCAACTGAAACCCATAAAAATGTATTACGTACTTACAAAGATTGACTTTTTTATTTGTCCCTTCGGATATCTTGGCCCAACAGAAATCCTGGCCTAACAGAAACCTAACTTTGTCCATTGAAAGTTTCATTAATTCCCTTTCCGCACCCTAAACCATAATCTTTTGTAGGAATACCACATATTTCGTCATCATTCGGATACAATGTCTATATATACATATATATATATATATATATATATATATATATATATATGATAGTGGACAGGTGATCACTCACTTATACTATACAAACTGTCCCAAAAGACGATATATATATATTTTTATTTATATATAATAACTTCGTATAAACTTGCGCAGTCACGTAACTATTTTTATATGAAAAGTTCTTGTTTTATTTTTTAAATTTTCACTTTGTTTCTTTGTAGTTCAGTATTATTAGTTTTGCCTTGGTATATATACTTTACGACTAGCCCTGCAGATATAATAAATAAACAAAATCGAAAATTTAATTTTAAATTAACTATTGCAAATATATTACGCATTATTTATAAGTAGCTACTCGCCCCGACTTCGCACGGGTGTACATGTATTATACATATAAACTTTTCTCACTTCATTAATCACTCTATCTATTGTTAAAACTGCATTAAAATCTGTTGGGTAGTTAAACAGAGTAAAAATTAATGAAAATAATAAAGATGCTTGTTTACTACAGTAGAGCGCAGTGACAGAAGTAATTATAAAACAATTGTATAAAAGGAACTCTCATATTTTCAATATTGTTAAACGAATATAAAAACTGCCAGTGATTCTCATTGTAGGTTTAACAAAAAGATCTAAGCGAACAGATAGCGGAAGTGACTTCATTTTATACTAGGTAAAGATCAAAAGAAATTAAAAATTTAGAAATAACCTCAATCAATAAAGTCAATCTTTATTGATTGAGATTATTTCTAAATGCCATGTCTCGATTATGTAGAAACTTTTGCCACCATCGTAATATATAAAAAGGTGATCTCTCAGTCTGTTTTCCATTCCAAATTCATAAAAAGGTTCTCCTATTTCTCTCTTTTTGCGGCAAGCAAACTTATAGTAATTACTAGTTACTCGCCCCGGCTTCGCATGGGTGTACATATACATAAACTTGAATCACTATCTATTTAAAAAAACCTCTTCAAAATCCGTTGCGTAGTTTTAAAGATTTAAGCTTACATAGGGCCGGACAGACAGCGACAACGACTTTGTTTTATATTATAGTAAGTAATAATGATAAGGAACGGAAGCTACAATAAAATTATTACACTCAAGTACTATAAAAGCTTTTAGTAAAAAAGGCTCAAATATGTCATAATTCTTGGGGTTCCTACTTTACGGCCATAAAATTATTTTCAAATCACCTATAAATACTCGAGTACGCAAGATTTATGATTTCATTGCCTTTTTTCCACTCTCTTTAGCCGAATTGTCTTATAAGACCTTTTTATAAAGAGCTAGTTTAGCTCTAAGAACTTAATATTCATTCATTTATTTTAAAAGTAAGGTCGGAGGTGAATTTTAAGTTAAACTCTTTCCAGTTGAGTTTTATATACATTTTGCATCATAATTCATTTACTTAACTATTTTATTTGTGAGAAAAAGTTAGGAAGGTTAAATAAAACATCAAGTTTTATAAGAGTTTTCACCTTTTTTGATGAGAATGTATTAGATATAAATGAGTTTTTTTATTCTTTATTGGACAATAAAAAGTGTACAAAAGGCGAACCCAATGTCATATGGTATTCTCTATCAGATTCACTGGCAGTTTTGTTATTTCGTTTCTCCATACTAATAGGAAACTTTATTAAATCACTTCTGTTACAGGGTTCTGTTATATACTAGTATACTCTCTTTTATTAATGCTTAAAATGAACCAGAATCGAACCTGTTGACAAGTTATTATAGTTCTAAAATTAAAAAAAGTTCTAATAAAGTTGTTTTTTTTTAGGAGCTGATAAAAGATTTAATATTAATCTATGCAAAGAATTGTTTGCAAATATTCCGTACCGTAAATTCTATCATACAAAATGTATTATGATCGAAGTGATAGAGCATCTAACCTAGTACTTTCTTTTCAAATTACTTACTCTTATCCTTAAGATCCTTACTATGTCACTATACATTTTTCAAATGTACTATCGAGGGGAGAAAGCTATTGTTATTAATGTTTCAGGCGTATCTACATAGGATATGGTAATCGTTTATCATCGGGTGTACGGGATTGTTAGTAATGTGGACTAATAACACCATTGTTAGCATAGCAAAAGAAATTGGTTTATTAGTCAAAGCAAAGGTCAACCTACACGTGGTTCCTCCTGGTACAATAGTGGTAAATTACCAAGATAAGCTAACTTACCTGACTTCATGCTTATTTTATCATCCTCCACTGGAGGTTCCCCAACGTAAATCATAAGCTCAGATGGGTGCATTCCATTATCATCCATAAAAAACCATTTACCATCAGATGAGCTGTATGCTTGTATGCCAACATCGTAGTAGAAAAAAAAATGTGGACTAGTAACCCCGTCGCCAGCAAAGTACCGTGTCAGGTTGACCTCCACACTAAGATCATGTTCATCTTATCATCCTTAGCACGCCTACCATATTAAACCGTTATCGCAGACGGGTGCACTATTCCATTGCCCCGCCATATTAAACCGTTATCGCAGACGGGTGCACTATTTCATTGCCCCACCATATTAAACCGTTATCGCAGAGGGGTGCATTATTTCATTGCCCCACCATATTAAACCGTTATCGCAGACGGATGCATTATTTCATTGCCTCACCATATTAAACCGTTATCGTAGAGGGGTGCATTATTTCATTGCCCCACCATATTAATCCGTTATCGCAGACGGGTGCTCTATTCCATTGCCCCGCCATATTAAACCGTTATCGCAGACGGGTACTCTATTCCATTGCCCCACCATATTAAACCGTTATCGCAGACGGGTGCATTATTCCATTATCATCCATTAAATTTTAAATATACTTACTAGTTCGTTAAGAATTTACGATAAAATTTCAATATGCATACATTTTCGAATATCCGAAACGAAATGATTTTCAATAAAGAATAATTAATATGTTTCTATAGCTTATAAGTAGTATATATATTTGCGTTTTGCTTTAAAATTAATCAATTAATCATTAACTAAATCATCATCTTCTGGCATGAACACAATTAAAATATTAGTTGTATGAAATTATTAAATAAATATTACAGTTTCTATATGTACTACGGTAGGAAAAAAAAGATTAATACAAAAAAAATTGACGTTCAAAAAGTTCAATTAGCTCTAAAATGTCTTACATGAATAAATTATTTTTTATTTTGATTTTGATTTTACTATTCCCACATTGTGTATAAAAAACACATGTTGAAAATATAAAAGTGCTTTATTCCAAGGAATAGTAAAAATATGGAAAGAATAATCGAAAGAATATTAACAAAATCGCGTTCATGGAAGCGATATTTGAAGACAGTGATAATGTCTTGGAAGTCGTTATACCATTTCGGTTATTTCAGAAGTTTTCCCAGTAAGATCTTTATCGAGATTACAAATGTCTTATCTATATATACCAACAATTTCAGTTTTAATTATGTTGTTCTGAATTTATTTATTATTACTATTTATTTATTTCAGGCAACTAGGCCCATATTATAAATACCTTATAGACTAACACACGTATGAAATAATATTTTAAAACGATTAATAATAATAATTTATTTGATTATATTGATATTAGCAAACAATAAATAATTACATACATATAAACATTCACAAAAAATAACAATCAGCTAGGCATCGTACCCAAGGTACTGGCAGCGTTGCCTCTTTGAATGGCTATACTAAATCTCTGGTCAAAGTAGCTACCAGCTCTCGAGTCACAAGTAACCTCTATATATACCTATTTCTATTAACATTTATGTTCTTTATGTATATATGTTATGGAAATATAAACAACCTAACCACTCACCTGAGTTATGGTGTTTTTTTTTTACGTACATATACGTATTGTATATAGAAAACTTCCAAATCGATACATACAACTATATATAAATTTTTGCACCGTGCGTGGAATCAAACACGCGACCATCGGAGGTATAGCGATGTGCGATACCTCCAGACCTGAGTCTGTCAAGAGAGAAGTACCCAAGATATACACAACTTTGTACAAAAGTCTACTTTGATAAAATTCGCCTAATAATACTCGTATGTTTCTTTCACAGATAGCACCAGTGACAATGTGGTCAGGCAAGAAGGGCTCTGAGACCAGCTCTGCTGGAACTCCTACCGCCGAGGAGGAGATCAAAGTAGTACTGGTAGGAGACACGCAGTGCGGGAAGACCACGCTTGTGCAGAGATTTGTGTCCGACACATTCATTGAGGTTTGTTAATTTTGCATCACATTTGTTGATACTAAATTATCGTCTTCCACACCATAAAAAATCAATCAAAACTGTATATTATATTGAATTAGGTGTTATTTTGGGAAGGTCATTTCATTAGGTAATGCATTTAAATTATTTTTTTTACCATCACACCGCTCGCATTCGATAGGGTATTCTAAGAAATTCTAGCGCGTGGATGTTTATCCATCCACGCGCTAGAACCTAAGTGGTCTCGGAAAGTACGGTTCCAGAGACCTTCCTCACGTGTACACTTAGATGGTGGAATAAATTACCTGCCAAGATTTTCTCACGAGACTACAGCACAAAGTTTTTCAAGAATGGTATATTAATGTTTCTTAAGGGTTGGCAACGCTCACTTGACACCCCTGGTATGTCTGGCGTCCATAGGCTACGGTAACCGTTTACCATCAGATGGGTTTGCTTGTTTACCACTATCGTAGTATGTGTATATTTTTTTTATTATTTAGCTTATATTAGCATATGTGGGACTACAAATATTGAATTTGCAAACCTGACCACCGCTACTGGAAGCGTTACGACCCTCTCTATTGCTGGAAAAATTCCGACCATTATTGAATCCACACCCATATTGCGATACGTGTGTCGCCTCTGAATGAGGCATCATCAGTCTATGAATATATCTTGGATATAGCTTGGAAGCGTAGTGTTGACTATTCGGCGGCCAAACTCTGACAATAGTTGCAGTTAACGTAATATATACATATATAATATATACAAAACCGTGATGGAGCACTGTATCAACTAGTAAACCGGTTAAAACGAGGCACGTCCTTCTTATTTCATTTATAATTTGCTTCAGAGTACAATAAACCATAGCACAATTGAACCATAACTACAATACCTATGAAAAATTAAAAATTGAATGTCAAAACGTAATAAAAATATTATTTAAAAAGCTACCAAAATGGCTGCCGTACCGGCTACTACCCTATAGTAGAAAATGTAGATAATTTCGTAGTGTGTTGTATAATATATATAGATCATATATATTTAGACATAATCATAAATAGAAAGTCCATCTCGGTAATTCGAACATCTAATCATCTAATGTAATAGAAAAATAGAAAACAACTAATTAGATATAACACTTACTTATAAATAAACTCTGTTCCCCAAATGCTATTGTTGGCAAAGAAACTCGCTTAGGGCAACGTGACAAGCTTGACAAGTAGGTACATAAGAAATTAGAGAGGCGTGTACAACGAAAACATATTTTGATAAAGGATTTGCACGCTTCTCGCTGAGAATGAGCGGGACTGTTGTCATGTCAAAATAAGTGGTAGACATTTGCGCACCGTAAAAACTATTTTGACAGCCAGCCCCTTTTAGAAAACTCATTAGGAATCCTTTTTTGTGTGATTGGAATGGAAACTTGCTGACAGATAACCATGGTAAGTGGTAACTACAGATTCTCTGTTCTGTAGTGGCAATCCTCATCTATATACATGAAATGCACCAATGTCGCAAGTTCGATTCCAAGTACGCTGCAAACGTATTTTCATGAGAATGATTGTTTGTATTAATCTGGCTGTTTTCTATATGTGTATGTGTGTATTTACAAAAAAAATCTAAGTATTTATTTTTTATGGATGATAATGGAACGGTGCACATGTATGCGCTAACGGTTTACGCTGGCGGGACACCAGTGTAGGATGATAAGATGAGCATGAGGTCTGCTCAGTTAGCCCATCATGACAAATTCACCAAGAAATTGTCACGATGGTTTCCAGGGTGAACCGCGTGGAGGTGAATCTGATGGTGGTACATTGCTAGCAATAAGATCATCAATCCACATTACTAATAATCCCCTTTTCTGCTATCTAAGTATTTATACCAGTTGTCTAGTAGATATTATTATTATTTTTATCACTAGATTTTACCACTCATGCGTTGCTATTCCTGAGGATTAAGATTTCATCCCTTTTATCCTGTAATTTCACGGCTTTATTTACCATACGCCTCAACCGAAACAGCATACAAAGCAAGCCCCTTAGTGTCTTAAATTGGTGAGACTGAGGTATATAATATATATATAAAATTATTAATTCTAGTATATATGTATATATTGCAATTATCATAGACCCATCTCTGTTAACTGAATTACTATTGAGGCAACATTTTAATTATTTATATTGAGTATCATATTGCTTTCTTAAAGCCAATGTTCCGTGGAACATAATATCAATATTGTATTTTCTAAAAATAATTGTGTAATTAATTCTCTGCCGGTGAACTTTGTATGCTATGACTTTGTATATATATACTGGTATATTATTTTTCATCACAATAATCATCGTAGGAATTCTGTATATAAGTAGTTATATTCCGCATCGATGTTCACATGAATTCAGGCAAAACTTATCCTAAAATAATCTATATTATAAATATTATAAGGCTTAAGAGTTTGTTTGTTTGATGCGCTAATCTCAGGAACTACTGGTTCGCATTGAAAAATTATTTTTGTGTTGTATAACATTACGCTACGACCAATAGAAGCGGAGCTGCGAAATATTTCAAAAGGTGGGGAAATAAAACGCAGACGAAGCGCGGGTCAGCTAGTCTATAATATAATTCATAATTAATTTATCTTATGACTCCGTTTAATTCTTTCAACAAATTTTTACATTAAGGTGTAATAATAAACATCCCACTATTCATACAAACTTTCGTGTTTATAATGTTAGTAGAAATCTTATTTTAGATCTCTGAACAGATCAAAGAGAAGTGAATACAGTTTTGACAGGACTATTTTAACGTCCGTTGTTATTTAAATAATATTGCTATGTAAAGTATTATTATGTCAACACTTAGTAAGCATTTAAACATGCTATTAAACGGTGATGTATGGACATTTAATCTTTGAGCATGTGTTCGAAGATTGAACAAACATTTGCAGTTATCGTTCCGCGTCAGTTTTTGAATGATTTACTGAGAGAGTTTAAACTATATCAGGGATACTTTTGTTTGCGCCAACATAGGGTCGAATGTGTGAAAAAGCTCTGGAATATTTTTTTCTGCTAGTTTTGCAGGTCTTTCATTATTTCTACGAAATTACTGCTTCAAATAGCATCTGTTGAAAATCGGGTTCCTGTGCGGTCATTTAAATCTCGTATTCTTATTAAAATAAACGCGAATATTTGTGAGTATGGATGGATGTTTGTTACTCTTTCACGCAAAAACTACTGATTTTGATGAAACTTTACAGTAATATGGCTTATACATCAGATTACCATACAGTCTATATATTTCACGCGGATGAAACCACGGGCACAGGTAATATATGTATATATTCATGTATTGACGGCGAAATAAAATAACAATGATGCTTCATTTCCAGTTTACAACATATGATTTTATTTATACCATTTTTGACATATTGTATTTTTTTAATATAAAATTAATGTAGGCTGCCAATACCTGTCAACTTGCAACAGCATCCAACAGTTTTGAGTGTATCACCTTTACGATGCCTGGAGTCCGATCATAACGTCAATAGCATTGAATGGCCACTCTTGATTATATTAATCTACTGTCAGCCGCAGGAAGTGGACACTAAAGAGGAAGTCTGTTGACGATCGCGTGAAAAATGGCTGTATGTATTTTGTTCTTTTGCTCGAAAAAGATTCGGTTATCTATACACTAGCTACACGTCATGATTTCACACTTTGTAGAGATTTTTCAAAGGTCTCCCTGGTTAAGCATAATACGACATCTTCACAAACGTATATTAAAGTAATTTAACCTTGTATTTATATTTCCACCACATTGTATAATCACCATTAAGCAATGGTATTTCCGAACTAATACGATATTCAAACCTTCAAGAATAGAGCTTATTCCTTCTTAAAAAACCGGTAACACAGTTGCAATTCCCAGGTGTTGCGGGTGCTCATGGGCGGTGGCAATCACTTACCATCAGGTGATGAGCGATAGTCACCTATTCCTATACTATAATATATATATATCTAATAACCACACGATTATTTTCATATTCCTAACCCCTATAGTAAAATCGTAATAAGCATAACAACCCTTAACAAGAGGTTTCCTATCACAATACCTATGGCAGATATCTTTAAGAAATCCATATAAATATCATCTATAATATTACCCGGCTTTGTAATTTTAGATCGCTCGTTTTTAATAGTCATTAACACACATAACGGCATATAAATATGTATATATGTCCCATTTCCTTCTATTGTTCCATATAAATGTGACTACCACGAATTGGGCTACAACTGATCGTTAGAGTTTATATTGTTAGAATTTAACTAATTAGGTCATATACACACGGTACGTTGCATTCGGTTAAATACAGCATCTATTGTATTGAATTTAGAATAGCATGGATGTTTTGTATGACTGTACAGTCATACATAACAATTGTATGTTAGCGCGAATGCAATTTAAATTACAGCGTCTACTCAATTATCCATACAATACTACAGATTATGACAGAGGTAGTTGTTATGGATATAACTGTTTGACGACCTCGGTGCTCTAGCGGTTTAGCACTGCTTTACTTCTAATGATCGCGGGTACGATTCCTCGCACGTTACAAACATTTGTATTCACGAGTATGATTGTTTGTATAGGTATTCTCCATACATTATTGTATGTATTTATATAAAAATGTATCTAAGTATTTATATCAATGATCTAGTACCTCTAACACAAGCTCAGCTTACATTGGCACTAAATGAAGCTTTATTATATTCCATTATATATTATATTATATTTATAATTATATTAATGGAGTGACCAGTCCACCTTACTTAAAATCCCGTGTCCCCAGGGCAGTATTCGAATAATTATTTTTTTCATAGCATAAGGAAATGAACAGTATAGTGAACTTATTCAAATTAAAAAAATGTATATATTTCTAGAACACATTCGGTCGCTTATGCATGTATTTTTTTAACACTATCCTTACCGCCTTGTTCGGCTAGCTA